TGCCAAGATGTTTCAACCCATTAATAATGTCAATAAATCTCACAAACATTGCACTAATAGACTCATTTTCATTCATACGAAACAATTCATATTGATGCATAAGAATGTCAATTTTGGATTCCTTGACTTGTGAAGTTCCTTCATAAGTAACCTGAAGTTTATCCCAGATTTCTTTAGCTGTGGTGCAAGTAGAGACTCTATTATATTCACTCGGACTTATAGCACAATTTAAATTGACTTTAGCTTTAGCATTTAAAAAGATAAGTCTATAATCCTCAGTGTCCCATTCAGCTTCAGTTTTAGGGATTCTTCCTGTGTCAACAATTTTCATTGGAACAAAAGGTCCATTAACTATAACTAGCCAAATTTGATAGTCTACGAATTGAAGAAAGTCTATCATTCTCCAATAGCCGTAGTTTGTTCCATCGAACCAAGGAGGTCTAGTATTAGATTGGCCTTCTTGATGAAGATGACCATTTAAGTTTGCCATGATCGTTCTTTAATACACTTAAGCTTTTTCAATAGAGTTCTAGCTCTGATACCAATTGTTGTCCAGATATAAACTCTAGAGGAGGGGTGAATAGAGTCTAAGCAAACTAAGGTCAAATTTGGGTTTTAATTAATCAACTAAAACAAAGCTTAACTTCCTTGATAAATATTGAAGAAAATAACCTGAATTTTGAACTTCAAAGGATAATATTTATCAAAGAAAATATACAGCAATAAATGTAAGAGATAGAGATAGAGATTACAAACATATACTCAGCGATTTTAGCGAGGTTCGGAAACTCGAACCTCCTACTCCTCGGCTCAAGACCCCTCTTGAGACTTCCCAATTCACTATGGCTTCTCCTTGTGGGTGGAGAGCAAACCTTTTACAAGAAGCTCTTCCTTGCTTCTAAATGCTAAGAGAAACACCTTCTCTTAGTCTTCCTTGGGCCACACCAGCCCTTACAAGTTTTGAATAAGATTGAAGAAGTACAATATGATCTCTCTTAGATCTGAAGTATAAGATATAGCTCACTCTAGAGTGTGTATGAATTAATTGAAGCTCAACTCTCTTTTATGATATGAGATGTGTGTATATGATGATGAAAGGCTTTTTGATTGCTAGAAAATCTTTCTCAATAAATGCAACAAACTTTTATGAAGGCTACCAGTCATTATATAGACTTTCAGAACTGTCTGATATGAATTCTAGCTGTTGGACACACACTTCGAGGAATAAAGCCCATTTGAAATTTGAATTCTCGCAGGTTCAGTAAACCGAAATAAATTGCTCTTGAGGATCGGTCGACCGATTTAGCCAAAGGATGGCCATCAGCCTTGGTTCGGTAGACCGATGAAAGAGACCTCTTTGGTTCGGTCGACCGATTTGGTTCGAGGTTGATTACTAACCATGTTTCGGTAGACCGATGAAAACTTCCATCTATTTTGATCGACCGAAACTCCTTCCTCAAAAGCTCTAAAACCTTCTGTGAGAATCGGCTCTGCTGACTCATTCACCTCTTTAGATTCGGTCGCCTGAAACTTAAGTGAGACTTTCAATATGCTAGGTTCGGTCGACCGATTTAACAAGGTCCTGAGGTTCGATAAACCGAAATAGCTTAGGGGTTTTGATCCAAGGTCTCCATTTATATCGGTCGACTGATTTAATGTGCCCTTCCAATTCGGTCGACCGAATTGGTTTATGTTTCAGGAAACTTGTTATGATGATGTGTTGAACTTGGTCCTTTGGTCCTTAGGGATTATGAATGAGTTAATTATGCATGATTTGAGAAATGTGAGCTTCAAAGTGTTCATACAAACTTTAACAAAAATTCCTAAGCAACTCACCATCCTAACTACCCCATTGATGACATCTAGATAACTTCTTTGAATCTTGAGTCTTCTTTGTCATGTCTTGACAATGCTTTCTCCTTTGAGCTTTAATGTGTACTGACTTGTGTTGATGAGTGCTTTTAATCTGTAATTTGCTTAAGGTAGATATTAGTACACAAAGAACATCATTAATGAATTATGATCATCAAAAGCCTTAGATTCAAGGTCAACAATTTCCTTTTAGCACAAAACCACTATCACCCTATTTTTAGTTTCTATATTTAATTTTACCATTACCACCTACTGTAGCAATAAAAAGTAATTACCAAAATAAAAATAAAAATCTTTGAAAGAAAAATAATACTTGCATATATTACTATAATTTTATTTTTCTTTAGATGCTTCTTTGAAAGAAATATAGAAACCTTTGAAAGAAAATAATACCCGTATATATTACTATTTTTTTATTATTATTTAGATGTTTCTTTGAAAGAAAAATAATACCCGTATCTCTCAATTTTGCAATAATAGTATGATATTAAAGCATTTTCCTAAGAAACATCTTGTTGCTCTCAATGTTCAATAGCATGTGGTCTTTTTTGCAAGTGCATATACTAAAATTCAAATAAATATACTTATTTGGTACAAGTAAATTTACTAACAAATACTCCATATACTATAATGTTGCATTTTGGAATATCGAATTAATAAATTGGAAATGAAATTGGAGAAAATGTCATTTAAAGTTCGAACAAAATTTCTTTTTATTTCAATTTTAAGAAGTCTCGGTATTCCCAAACTAGCTTAATTAGATTTTGAGAATTTACATTTGACACAAATTCTCTTGTTGAATTTTCTGACACTTGTGTTCAAAGATATAAAACAAATTATCTCTCTTTATCCTTCCCCAAATGAACCATCTATGACTTGGTGATATGAGACATAATAAGGAGGGATACTTCATCTTAACAGGCAAGTTATCATTTGAAAATAACCAACATAAAGACTTTCCAAATCAAATCTATATAAAGAAAATAGCCATATGTATAAACAAAATAATTTGTAATATTTAATAAGAGATCATACAATTGAATTTGGTGACGTGATGAGAAATACTTTGTGACGTTAAGCGGGGTGCACGATTCCGGGATTCAGAGGTATTTCATGTTATTTTAGAACCAAAGCTCTCATGGGAAGCAATATTGTTGTTATAGTTATTTGTGCGTGTAGGTGTGAATGACAATATATACCGATATTATTTTTCTTTCAAAGATTTCTATTTTTATTTTAGTAATTACCTTTTATTGCTACAGTAGGTGGTAATGGTAAAATTAAATATAGAAACTAAAAATAAGGTAAGAGTGGTTTTGTGCTAAAAGAAAAAGATATAGGTGAGTTTGAAAAATGACCGTTAGATTTAATCTAACAGTCCATAGAAAAAATGTTGATTAATTTTCCTACTCCACGGGGATCAAGAAATCAAGACTATATATATATATATATATATATATATATATATATATATATATATATATATATATACTGTACTGGAAATCCATCACTGCACATAGCACCACCAAGACTATTGGCACAGACAACAAAACACGGCCAATACTGTCGCGCGCCGCCACCATCCCCACCCCATAATCCCCATCGTTGTATTCCGGCAACAAACCACCATCTGCAAAATTGAAGGCATGACGCCTCGTGGTCGATTACATCTTCAATTATCAATTTCAAGCCTAGTTCGTTCTTTGTTGTCTGGTTGTATTCAATTTGATCCCTCTCGTTCTTGTCGCCATTTTCCTTTGCTCACTAACCAGTTTCTCGATTGATGTCTGGGCTTCACTTCCAACGATTGCTTCAAGCGAATTGAAAAAGAGATAGTTATATTTTAGGATATTTTGGTCATTTAAAATAGGTTTTCTGAAGGTAATCAACTCATTTTATACATAAAATAAAGTTAACACAAAGTTAAAAGGATAGTATTATCATTTTACATATAAAAAGTGCTCAGACAATACTAAAAATTGTCTTTTGGGATGTCGGTGAAATACGAAACCACTCTTCCAAATATAAGTGAAAGTTAAAACCAAAATTTTCATCCGGTTGAGATTTGACATAACCTGAAGGGGTGTCATCGTATTTTACCCTAAAACATACTCGCCAACCCAATTTGCCCCGTTGGACTTAAACCTTCAACCTTCCATTTTGTTCCTTAAAGACTTGAACCATCCACCTTCTACTCTAGAGGGTGAGAAAGTACACTTAGCAATGTAGAGATACCGACTCTAGAGGGTGAGAAAGTACACTTAGTAATATAGAGATACTGGCAACAACAGATCAATGGTGTGAGATATAATTTTTATAATTGGCAAATTTCGATATCAAAACAAGTCTGATCGAGTTGTAATTTCAAGTTACCATATCAAGATCGAGATTAGCTGCGGAATTGAAAAGTTGTTCAAATATGACAACACTTTAGGAAGAGATCTTAGAAGGTTATGATACTTTTTATACTTGGTATATTTTCAAACTTACCTAAATAATATTTTTCCAAGTGTCAACCTTTGTTCAAGACTGGCAATCTTGAACTGGTTCAAGCTCTTTAGAACTGGTTTAAGAATCATTAAACTTGCTTCGAATTTCAACTGGCCATCTTGAACCGGTTCAAGATCTGTAACAGAATAAGGTAACTTAGTTTCCTATTCTGTTTCTTCTTCCTACTTGGTTTCAAACATAGTGGATTGGTTTACTTTAAACTGCACAGTACACGAGGTGTTATCTCTAACTCTATTACTTTACTTTATTTTATCATGTGTGTAATCTCTAACTCTATTACTTTATTTTACTTTATTTTATCATTTATGAGATTAATTGATTAATTGCTAAAATAAAACTAAACTTTATTTTATCCTTGTGTCATATCTAATTCTATTACTTTACTTTATTTTATTTTCTATGAGATTAATTGATTAATTGCTAAAATAAGTAAAGTTAAAAAGACACATCTATTTTTAAAATACAAAACTTTCTATGCAAATTATCTTCCACTACACAACTCACAAGTGCCAATGCAATTTTGTACTAGTATATTTCTAATTTTATTGAGATGCATGCCTAATTACCTAGCTTGCAACAATATGAAAAGACGGAAGATTAGAATAAGTAGCAGCAGAGATTGTAAATTGGCTTCAATTTATAACTTCAAAACGTATAGATAAACTATATCTTCATCACAAAATACATATCAGCTCAAGAGACTGTTTTTACAAGACAGAACAGCCACACAAAGACATCATGAACTTTTTGTATACAAAACACAAACTGCAAAAAGTTTCATAAAAAAAAAAAAAAAAAAAAACCTTGCTTCTAAGGAAACAAGACACAGACACTGCAGAAATCAACAACACAAACTGCATATAGTTTCATTAAAAAAAAATCTCGCTTCTAAGGAAACAAGAAAACACGGACACTGCGGCCATCAAGAACACTAACTGCATATAGTTTCATATATATATATATATATAACTTGCTTCTAAGGAAACAAGAAACACAGACACTGCGGCCACCAATAACACATCTCGGTCAAAAGCAGCCTCCTGAAAATTCTTCTGTCGCTGGCTCCCTTTTCAGCACTGCACATTCAAACAAAAATTACATTACTAACCATAATGTGAAGCATCAATTAAAGTGACAATGTAAATGTAAAAAGAGCTTACCTGGTGAATAGCTTGGTATGATCAATAACCTCCATGGTACGAAGACTGAGAAGAAAGTGCCGCTGCCCACTCACAGTAATAGAGAACTTTTTTTGACAAGTACTCATAGTAATAGAAAACTAATGGGGCTTACAACAAGAAAGTGCGACACAGATTAACCTCAATCACTAAAAAAGCCGAAGCAATGAACTACTATCGTTTTCACTTTCACTTCACCTTCCCACTTTTCCTCTTAAAAACAGAAAATTTGGTGAAGGTACACTTCGCCCTTGCAGAGCCGAGAAGAATGGCCTAGGTCTTAAGTGAAAGATATATGTTGTAGCTATAAGAGATGCCGAGAATGAAGAGAAAGAGATCATAAGCAGCTTCTTAAAGCTCTAATTGACCAAGGAAAAGAGAGGGGGATTGAAAGATCATCTAGGCAACCAACTCAGGCCATACTGAACTACGAGTAACAAAATGACTAACCTGTATCGGACCAGCAACATAGAAGAACAGGTTCAAGATCAAGGGACTAGAAATTATGATAACAAGAACCGAAGAAGGAAAAAAAAAAAAAAAAAAACCTACAGAAGAAAGGGCGACTAATGAAGTTGGGATTATGCAGTATATGCAAAGTGTACAAAGCCAGAGACTAATTTAACTTTAAATAAAATAAAAAATCACTTCAACTTCCATCTAGCATGTACAAGTACATAATCGAATGTTTAGCCCCCATAAAGTACTCCAGGCAACCAATCATGTCAATAGCAAAGTACCATACATAAATTCCTCCTCCTACTCGCAAAACATTTTGAAACTGCAAATATCCATGTCACAAAACCCAGATTGAACCTTGAGAGGAATGCCCACAAAATCAATTCCCAACTCGATATCCAGAGAATGCAGACCAACCAGTCATCACTACACTTATGCCACCACAAACCATTAAACAAACTTCTGAAGAGTTGCAGTACAGACATGCTCATTCACTCTATATACAACCTAACACTAACCAGTATGCACAGCTGATTGCTTATTTACAGAAGCCCAACACTCCTCATACTTCATTCATCAGAGATATCAAGATTGAGAATGCGACGAAGAGCCTCAGTCGCAGAGTCAACACCCTGAAATAAGTTTATAGGGGAAGGGTCGTGTTCCCTTGTAGGAGAAGGGGGTGCAGACTTGGTAATAGGGCGGAAATTAGAATCAAATTCAGAAGAAGGCAAGTCCAATGAAGCAGTCCTATTCGATCGAACCGAAAACTTGGGAATGGGCAGAGAACTTGGAGGGGGAGAGTTAGAATATGCTGGTCCAGCCCAAAGCTCAGAGTAAGAAAAATCATCACTCAAAGACCCCTCCTTGTTATCACCATCTCTGAAGCTAATAGGAATTGGAACAACACTACTTCTAACACTTCTTTTCAATCGTCTAACGTCATTGGAGTGAGAACTAACAGATGGTGAAGTTGTTTTGGGTGATGAAAAAGAACATGCTTGTTTGGTTAAAGGACTAGTATAACCCTTTAACGGAATTGGGAGTATTCCAACTCCGGATTGAAAAGTTCTGCAACTGATCTCTCTAAAGTATCTAGAAGGAGGAGACTCAAATGACCCAAATCTAGCAAGACCATGAGCTCTCCTTCTGCTGTAGTAATGATTTCGATGATGAGCAACAACAACAAGTGTCTCCATTAAATTAATTCACAAAGCTAACTAAGATTTCTTGTACAAATTAGCCCAATTTCAGAATGTTAACCTTCAAAATCTACTATTTTAGGGCTCATAACTCCAAAATCGCCTCTTTAAAAGTTTGAATATTATGAGAAGAGAAGAGTAGCTTCTGGATCTTCTCCATAACCACCAAAATCTAAACAGATTGGGATTAATTTCACTAAATTCAAACCATATATGGAGCATGAATAGAACAAAGAACACCCACCAAAATTCTTCAATTTCTTCAGAATTTAAATTGCTTATCAAACAACCAGACCTACACAAATCAAAACCCAACGGAGAAAAACCAGATCAATCATACTAAAAATAAACGTTTATTCAATAAGAAATGAACCGGAATCGAAAGCTGGGGATTTCATTTTCTCGGGAAAAGGTTAGAAAATTACCTTGGGAAACTTTTACTTGTGCGTGGTGTTTTCTTCCTTCTCCTATATCCCTCTCGCTACTTGGAAGTTCAAGTTCAACCTCTGAGCTTTCAAAAACCAGAATCCCCGGATCTGAAATGACTCAGAGCCGATTTAAAGATCATCAGGATTCAGGGCAGGCAAATGGGCCGGGTACGGGTCAACAATCTGGGTAGAACTCTAGACCTTTACCACTTTTTATCTTTTTCTTTTCTTATTTTTTTTTTTAAAACATTCAAGCAAATTTGCAGATTTTCTCCCTCCAAATTTCTTTCAATTCTTTTTTATTTTTTTTTTTTATCCGTCCAAATCATTTCATCCAAACAAGTTAGAGAAAAATGATACATCTTCTGAATTCAGAAGATAGCAATTAAGTATTGTGTGAGTAGAAATGATATTATGTTGTGAATAAAAATATTCACAATTACTGCAGGATTTAGTGACTTGGTTCTTCTATTCAAGAGAAGATTTGCCAATAATTTAACCTCAAAGAAAGTGCTTTTAAGGTGCTTCACGTTGCAATTATAATTCGTCGTACCGTTCGATACACGACGTATGGACCGATACGTGATCATTTTTTAAGTTTGATACGCGACTTGTATCAGTCAGTTTACATTGATTTTGTCCAAATCTGTTACACAGCAATCGCAATCGATACTCGTGGCCGATACTACGAACCATGATTGCAATATATGTAATTGATTTTTCTTCATTGAACAACTACTTAGATATTCATGGAGTTTGAAAATTGATCAATATTGTTGTTTTTTTTAAAAATGCATTATTCGAACCCAAGTTAAGAAGACTTGACGATTCCTCATCTCCAACAGTGTCTATTGAATTACCACTGTCGTTCTCCTTTCTCCACCAGCCCTTCAACGTTTGACCTGAGAGTTGGCACCAAGAGGAAACTACCTGCTCTCTATGTAAGCAGTTCAATTTTTTTTTTTTTTTTTTTTTAAATTTCGAGCAAATACACACTCACCTAGCTACAATTTTGCCCGTAACAGGGCTCTCCAACACTCAACTTTTTCTTTGAATAGCGGAAGTTATACTATTTGGATTAATTTTCATTTATTATAGAACAATACTTAGACCCTCGCTAATGAGGATCTATAATATTCTCACCTATTGTGTAATTCAATAAAAATAAAACACCTCATCTTTTGTTAAATAAGTCAAAAAAAATAAAGAAAGAGAAAATAAATCAAATCCTACCCGAATGAGATTGGGTAAAAAGGGTTCAGTTTTTTATTTTTATTATTATTTTTATTATTTTTAGGGTTCAATGTTTGTTTCTCTTTCCGGCACCAGAAAAGAGCCCTCTCTCTCCACCATCTTCTTCCTCTCAAGTTTCTAGTCCTGGACATCATTATTCAATTGCCAAGAATATTTGAAGTAGGTATGATATTTTTATTTTTTTTTTAAAACAAATTTAAGATTCTTTTTCTAGAAAGATAGAGGAAGAAACAAATTAGATTAAGGGTTCTTATTATGCTATGTAGACTATTTTAAGTTCCAAATTTTATATGGAATTTACACACTTGCACACTATTAGAAGTGGCGACAACTCTTGTTTCAGTCTAGAATCAATGCTACCAACCAAAAAGAATTGAATGTTCTGTTCTCTTTGCAGCTTGATGGGGTTTGTGAAGATATTTCTGGGAGTTTCACATGGGTTATTAGATTTGTAGGAATCAATGTTACCAAACAGAATGTTGATGTGTAGTGTCTGTAAATTAAGGGGCTCAATTAATCAAGAGTTTGCTCTATTATTCATAAAGGAACATGTTCATTTTCTTTAATTGAATGATGTCGACAAGAATTAGATACTTAAGAGGAAGAACATAGTGGAAAGAGAGGGCTGAAGGTTGGTGTTGGAAAGAGCTCACACTTTTTCAAACTCAGAAAATTGAGAACCTGAACCCTAGAAAAATAAAAAAAAATAATAAAAATAATAAATAAATAAATAAAAATTAAACCCTTTTTACCGGATCTCAATCGGATAGGATCCGGTTTTTTTTCTTTTTATTTTTTATTTTTTTTTTGACATATTTAACAAAAGATGAAGTGTTTTATTTTTATTGGACCACAAGGTGAGGATATTATAGATCCTCACTTGTGATGATCTAAGTTTCTCTCTTTATTATATGTGAATCAATTAGCCTTCAATTCAAGTGAACTTTGAAAGAGGTTATCATATAAATCTATTTAGATGAGGGCAATTTCAATCATTATGGGGTTGTTCGGTAAAAGTTTTGTTTTTGCGTTTTTGTTTTAACTCGAAACAAAAGAAGAATTTTGTTGTATGATGTTTTGAATAGTATTCAAGCATACTTGATAATGTTTATTTATTGCAAAAAATTTTAGAAGCAAAAAAACATAAAAACATGTTTGGTAAAAGAGTGTTGCAAGTTTTAAAAATATAATGGCTAGTTTAAAAAGGTCATTTCTGAGTTGTTCAAAATAAAATAAAAAAATTTGAGTATTGTTCTGTGCTACTGTATCATTACTATAGTGCGAAAATATGTAAAAACACCAAATTGGTGTTTTGACTTTTAATCACTATTTACAAATATTTTAGTACTACACAAAATAAAATAATTTTTACCAAATATGATTTTTTTAACTGTTCATACTACAGTACCCGACAAAAATAAAAACGCCACAAACAAAATGCAAACGAATCAGACCCTCTACGACTTCTTTTCATTACGAAGTGAGCATAGATTACAGCATATTGCACACTCTTTAAGAAAAGATGCCATCTTTTGCCCCCCATTTCATTTCAAGTATATTTATTTATTCCTCTAGTGCAAGAAAGAGGTAATGGCTTATATGATATTATATATTTTTGCAGCTGCTAGATACTTCATAAAACTTTAAAAGGAAAATGGATACCATCTTTTATATATTAAATAGGGTAAAGTGCAAAAAAAATCCTTAAACTATTGGCCATTTAGCAGAAAATCTTCCTGATCTAATAATTTGGCATATAACCCCCTGAACTAATCATTTTTGTAACGACCCAGATCCTCATGGATCCAGATCATTAAACAGGTCCTTACCTGACCCAACACCATCCGAGGGTAATACGGTTATTTCACACTAAATTTAAATATCAAGGCCCAAAAAGGACAAGATGGTAATTTGCCACAATTCACTAAATTGAGACTCAAATGGTATAATAGTCCTTTACTTGTACCACATAATAAATAAAATAAGGTTCGGGGTAATAGAGTCCTTTGGGTAGTTAAAATATAATTATTTCATTTTAGTGGGACATAAAAAAATTACGTGTAACATCACTTGAATGCCAAAGTGAAATTTTAAGAACATAAAATTGCAATTACATATATGACGTAAATCGGTCGACGTATATGCATCAAACGTCGACTGGTTTGGGTTATGAACAGTGGTAATACCCACTGTCGAGATACCGGTCAACGTATGGGAAGCCATACGTCGACTAGTTTGGGACGCGATACCAGTCAACGTATAGGAAGCCATACGTCAACTAGTTTGAAATGTATGCCAAAAATGACCCACTGACAAGATACCGGTCGACGTTCGGGAAGCCATGCGTCGACCGGTTCTAGGTAATTCTCACTTCCACTTTCCACTGTCCTATGTAAACCCATATACACCAATTCTTGGTAATTAACCACATACGCCACTACACTCACGTACAAAATTAAATACATTTCGACACCAAACACAATAAAAACAACCACGTTATTAACATAATTTGACACACGTTACTTAAAATACACAAACTGATTTTGAGTGAATAAGGCTTAATTACATTACCCAATGACCATGCACATGATAATTACACATATTCTACATGTTGCCAAAAATAATGCATTTAGTCATGCACTATACAAGATAAGTTCAAGTCCCACAAAATACATTCAAAATGCCTTTAAGTTCCCCTAGCTCTGTGGTGGATTATCATCCGCCAATTCCTTGCCATGACCTGAAAAATATTAATTATGTGGGGTGAGCAAATTGCTCAGTAGGTGACACTTAAGACACGCTTCTTGTGTCCCTGTAAATCCAAACATAGAATAGATCAATGGGAATGGGGATCATACAATGACTGGGTAATACAACATTCCAACCAAACTCTAATACAAACAATGCAATACCATGGAATGCAAATGCATGCCGATGTCGCTCCCCATTCTCTTTTTCTTAAAACCATCTCTTTCAAACTTTTAATATACCCCGCCCTTTGGTGACCCCGCAGCTACACGAGAGGAGGATTAGCTAGTATCCTTGACCATTGGTATCCCCGCGACGTCATTATGGGGCCTAGCTAGCTTAACCACACTAGAGGGACTCCCTAGTCCCCTTTAGGCTATATTAACACTCCGGTCCTTTGGTACCCCCGCGGCGACCGGGTTTTCACAAAGCCATTTCATCAAATCACTTTCCCAAAATTCCCCCTTTTTGTTTCAAAACAAATTCACCCATTTCATACCCAATGTAAGTGCACGAGTGCATCAATACCATGAATATATTCATTATTTCACAACCAACTCAATTTAAGTAAGCAAGGCATAATTTCACAAGAATTTCTCAAGAAATATCAACATGCTCTTATACAACAATACATCTAGCATAACGAACATATTTAAATCATCACATAGGCAAGTTTTCCACATAAAACATTTAATACAAGTTCTCACATAACCACATACACATGTTCTAACTACTTTAAACTACAACTAGCATAAATAAACATGTCTTGCAACAATTTAGAAGATGTTATTCACATAGGAGCAAGAAAATTATGGATTAAGAGCCCCTACCTCTAGATTGAGCAAAACCCTTGAAATGGGTCTCTAAATTCGAAGTCCAAAGGAAGGCCAAAAGCTGAAATTGATGGTACTCATGCGTAGAGCTCGTCGTGCTCTCTGTTTTGCCTCAAACGGCACCTTAATCCACCAAGTATTGAGAGAGAAATCTTACTTCAAAGATTTGGTTGAAAAAGAAAAAGAAAATGCAAGATGAGAAAAGTGAGAGAGAGAGTTACGGGAGTGAGGAATGTGAGAGACAAAATGTGGTCTCTAGACCACTTTGGATGGAAGTGGTGGGTCCCACAA